GATACTATGCACCCTGGAAGTGCTCTCCTCAGCTCTATTGTTCATATTATGATTTTTTATTATTGCTATGATTATATTGTCACCAATTATTGTCATTTGTATTGATGAAATCGCACGTAAATATGCATACTTTCGATCGGACCCGTAGCCAAGGGCGAACCACAACATGTTTAGTGCAAAAGTTTTTGCAAGATCTGATAGTTTGAAGAAAATGCATTCAGTGCTCCACATCACCACCATTCATCATGGCAATTCAAACAGACCGAGTACTAGAAGCGAGTGACGCTGTGAGCGTTTTCTTTACTTATAATTAATACATTAGACCACCAAAAAATTAGAACAGTTCCCTTCCCATTTCAGTTTCTTGTGGTCGATCTGAATCTGACTCAATACATATGGCTAGAATAATAATGAAAATATTACTGTAACTCTGGCGTAAGGTCATCGAACTCCAACAGTTTGCTTAAAGCTTTTCGCAAGCATTTCGAATCTCGTGATTTTGGTTCAGTTCCTAAGATTGCACAAACCATGAAAGGCAGTCCAGCGCTACGACGCGTAGAACACAACTTGGTTTTATCTGAAATTGATTCTATCATTCCACTTTCACTAATCCCCCCCTCCCGCTCTCAAATCCACAAGGATCAATTTTCCACGTCAAACTCAAAGGCCCTTCTCGTTGACTTAAGCAAAAATCTCTCTGATTCGTCTGAAACTTTAACTTTTCCCAGCTTCTGATCTCCACTACACTTGTGAATTCAAAAATTTGCATTTGAAAGTTTCAGAGCAATATGAAAGCACAAGAAACATCAGAGAACTCAATTGCTAACGTTAAAATCCTCAAATAAGCCGTATTCCCTTTCAAATAGTCAGCACAAATAGTCCTTTCTAACCAGATCATAACCAAACAATAGGATTCAGGGAAGAACACGACTCATCAATGAGTTTGAGCAAAACAACTCACCATCTCCACCTTTAATAGCCACAATGATATCGTCTAACCACTTTTCAGGATTCGGTAAGTCCTTGTCCTTATCGTTCGAACAATCTCGTCGCCTCTCTTGAATCTTCCACAATCGTTTGCATAACGCCTCAAAACCTTGAACGGCTAACTCGAATGCACCACAGTGTTTGCATTCGGTTAAATGCAACCAATAATAATCACCGATTCGACCCACAACCTCGGTTGATATCATTTCAGGATATGGTACCTGCAATTTTGGGTGTTTTCAATATAAATTCACTAAACGTTCTCCTCTGAAAGATTCCGTTGATCCGATTATCATCTCATTATCGCCCTAAGTTGATTTTACCATTATCACTTTGATATTATAATCATTACGCTATCACGTATCACTGATAACATAACGAAAGACGAAATTAAACACCTTTTCGGCAATCGAGTGTAAAAGAGTTGATATGTGCTTGTGTGCACGCCAACAACCCACTAATAACAACTGACTTGTTTCTGCTAACGATACCAAATCAGATACACAACTCATATCTGCAAGAAAATTTATCGAAGATTGCAAAAGCAACTGGAAAACAACACATGCGGAAATCATACGGAATTTTCTGACGGATATAATACAGATTTCTTGCAAAGAATTTTTCTCAGCATGAAAGATATTTTTGTACGATTTCAGATGTGTAGCACAAATCCGAAAACTGCGCTAGACTTCTATGATAAGAGTTTTCGATGATCGGAACAAATACTACCTTTATCGGTGATGAAATTCTCAGGCAGGTAGCCCTCAGGCGACATACTCCGTACGACAGGCGATACTAAATCACCAACTCGAGCGCATAGAGGCAACAGAAGTTCGGCAATGTTGTGACGCCATTCTCTTGATTCATCGGCACTTCAACGAAATTGCTGACTCGGATAAATTAAGCAGAGACGAATAAACGATAGAAAGTCAACAAGTGAATGAATGAAAAATTCAAAAGGTACTGAAGCTGGTGTTTCACACCGAAACGTCTACCAATCCCTCAATTTCGTTTATCTACCTTAATTTATAATATCCTATTCTACTCCTCAACTATCCCCATACCCTACCTATTCCTACTGATAATATTCATTCTTTCTATCTACTAATATCACAATCCACAACACTACAATAGTGCGCATTTATCAGTCGTTACAACTCAAGGTAACTCGTTTTAACTGATTATCAAAATGCGCATAAGCTCACACATTTATCATTGTATTCATGAATGAAAAATATGAATGATGAATATTGACGAAACAGAACATAGCACACCTCAACTTATCCCATTGCATACATTCAACAATGGTGGCGATTGCGTTCAGGATTGGATGCAAAGAACCATTTTGATTTGTCAACATCAGCAGATTATCGCCGATAAGCTGAATTCGTTGAGCACACAACGCAATCAGATACTTGAATAATGCGTCAACATCTGATCGCGTGCTTTTGAAAATGAAATATCGAATACGATAGCTGGCCGACTCCGAATTGTTCGAGCGAACCGATGACAGCATCACGTGCTTCGTTTCGGCCAGAAAATCACTCATATCCTAAAAATTTGACTGTTGTCAAAATTCCTATAATACGCAATCGATTAGATCAATCAGTCGATCAACCATCCGTTCAATCGTACTCATCACAGTCACGATCTTATTTAAGAATTTGTAAAGAATAAACAAATGCGTATAAGAAACAACAACATAAATGATTTAAAAAATATATGATCAAGTAGCTGAATTGAATTGAATTAAGAATTAAAGAAAAAACTAACGGTGAAATGTTGATTAGAACAACAATCATCTGATACCAGCAAATCAATGGCAAGCGTTTGACATAACTGATACGAATCGTCCAGAATGCTCAACAGTTTTGCATGATCCTCTTTACTCAAACATATCTGTTTCTTGATCGAATTGAAGAATAAATCTGAAAATTTAATTATGAGAGTTATGTTGAAATAGGTGCGAAATACTTTCGTCTATAACCATCATATAAGAAAATAAATGAAAAGAAGAGTGAATCTTTCGTTTTTCACAGAAATCAATCACACATCGACTTATCTCGCCACTAAAATGATCAGTCTACCGTAACTTTTGTAGTGGATCGATAATAGCGATAATATCAGTGATATGTTATCAGTGTTAATTATCCTTATTTTATTTGTTCACAAATAAGTGAACAAACGAATGAAACTCATACTATTATGTTTGCAATATTTTGCAGTTCTCTTTTCGTATTTTCATAATCCTCGAATAATTGAAACGTTTATTACATTACAATCACAGTCTGCTGGATGCAACTTAATATAAGATCGTACCTTTGTTTTGATCTCTTAAGAAAGGCTGCTTGAAGATATAATCGAGAATGTGTAGAGCCATTATACGACGGCTAAAATTTGCACCGCAATCCAGGCATTCGATACAAAAATCTTTCAACCAAATCAAAAAATTCGTATAGCATTGCAACAGCGTGTGACTGAGACTGTCCGTAGTATCGTGTTCATTTGAGATTTTCCGTTGTTGTTGTTGTTGTTTCATTAGCGATTGAGAGATTTCACGAAGCCGGATGAACACCTTAACAAGATTATATTGAGATTATAACATCATCTACGATTACTCTTATTGCTGTCATTATCATTATTATCGCTACTATGACAGATATCATTATTATCAATATATCGCCATTAACATTTTTCTAATTGTTACTATTAGCACTGAATTACAAATATCAATATTACTACAGTTATTATATCATCAATAAATTTGATTTCTTTTGCTAAACAAATCACCAAATGAATCAACGCAGAAATAGTATAATTGTCAACCACAAAATCAACCTTCCTGAGTCCAGCCAGAATTTTTTGCCTTGTCGATGGACATTGTTCAGCCATATTCGTTAGCAGAAATGCTTTTATGAAGTCGACTTCTCGCTCTTGAATTTGAAGCGTTAACTTCGGATGTTCACTGATCAGAGACCATGCTGAGAGACGTATCTGAAAGACGAGATTACTGCAGCAAAACTCAACTCCATTCAACTGCCTTACAAAAACTAACATCAGTGATATTCCATAACCATATTCCGTAACTATTACCTATTCAAACAATCTAGTATTATCAGCTTGAACATATCATTTTTCGTCATAATCAGCAATGTTTTGTGATTAGTGATAGTTTAAAATCAACGAGAACAACTGACGAATGATTGCGAATGCAATAGAGCTTGAGCGAAACGCTTTTCGTCGATGAAATCGCTCCATTTACAATATTCCGAAGCGTTCGAAAATGACTTCTGATGCGATATGCAGTACTTGGATAACGATAACACTGCATCCAATCGTCGATCATCACTGATATCTTCTAAACGAAGCGGAATTTTCACAACAAGTGATCCCAACAAAAACCGNGATATTTCCATATATATATTTCAAATATGTCAAATGGTAATGATATGACTGAAGTGCCTCGACAAACGCTAATTCTGTGACAGCTCACACCAAGTCAAGTTCAAATTCGAGATTAATATTAGATCAATTTGGACTCGTTTATGAATACTGTTCCAGAGCAAAAAAACAAGCCTACTTTAGGTCTATGTAGAATTATAATTGTAGGGCGTTTTTCAACGATACGAATTTAAATATTCCAATGTTTTAACTGTTGACAATTCAGCCATATGTACGTTCAAAAGAGAGGATAAAATGTAAGAACAGATGTAGAAGATAAGTATAAGATATAAAATATTGCGTTCAAATGATTTTAGTTACAAGAAGAATTATCGCAGAAGTTCCCTAATGTTTTCACATAAAATCAAACGAATTCATGTAATTCGTCCGATTAAACGAGAATTTTTTCATAAATCATGAAATCAAATCGTACCGGCCAAATGAACGGCAAAACGTGTGATAATCCATTTCGTTAGTTGACTATCTTTGAACATAATCGGTATCAAACGTTCTCGAGAGGCCATTCGAACTTGCTCACTTGATGAACACAACACTTCCGTCAACAGTTTTGAATGCAATTCGCAACGTTTTGAATCCTTACTCAAACATTTCAATAGATCGTACACTATCAAATCACTGATCTGAAATCGTTCGTGAACAATAAATTCCATCGATTCCAAACAAACTTTATTTGATTGAATTATTGAAATGAAAATTGAATTATTGAAAATTGATTTATTGAATTGACGATGAGTAATTCTTCGGAAGACCGTGATGTTAAACGATGTTCCTCAAGAAATCGAAATCACCCAAATCGCTATGAAACCGTAAGATCAACGTCAAAATTATGAGAACGCATACTTTTGAACAAACAGTCAAATCGAACGATAAAATGCTAATAAAGCAATAGCAAACCGCTAGAGTTAGAGTTGGATTTCCAATTCGTCCATAAAGTGTGCAAATAAATTTATCGGGAAGTTGGCATATCACCGTTGGATACTGCTCCATAAAAACCAACTGCAAGTTCAATCAAAATTCAAAAGATGAACTCAATTTTATAAAATCCTCTTTTATGACCTTTTATAAACTCAATTTCCTGAAAAAAAGAAAGAAATGCCATGAATAAAAGCAAGAGCGATGGAGCATTTGAAGCACTTACGAGACATCTGAAATGACTTCGTGGCCATTTCGCTGAATCCACCAATAACCATTCAGCTATGTTCAAAATCCACGCACACGGACGCTCTCCACTGATAGCACTGATAACCAATCCCGAGTTATCACTACCCTTATCATCAGTATTAACCAAAATGGCGGAAGCATTACTCGTGTCCACAGAATTATTCTCATTAGTACTATTGTTGCCTTGTTTGCTATCAGCCATCTTATCAGTCAGCAATTTGTGATAATGGCACTTGTTTCGATGCAACGAAATGAGCGTTCCGAATATGTGCACACATTCGTGGCAAACAAATTCCAACACATAATCCCAGTATTGACGAACAAAATTCAGTACGAGTGACTCAATTGGATCCGATAATCGCTGCTTCTCGTCACTGAAATGTGAAGATCTTAGCGACGAGGATCGTTCTTGACTCGAAATTGAAACTCAAAAATTGAAAATTTCCGGAAATTTTCTGCGAAGAAACAGAAGAAGTAGAAAAGAAAAATGAGAAAAGAATTTGAAAGAAATCATTCCGTTGAAAAACAGATATTGGGCAGAACGCACTTTAACACGGTCATCAAACGTCCTAATGCTTTCGTTATGTCGAATATGCGATTTGTTTCATTGGAATTCCTGAAGCACAAGAAGTGGTATGTGAAATTGAAAATACGACAGTAAAGCAGAATGCAAAAAGTTTGATTCAGCATGATGGATCAGTTCGATTCGAATTCGAAAAACTAAACAAAAGAAATATTAAGAATGTTGATTGTTCGCTTTAGTTCTGACCTATTGGCTGCATCAACCAATGCTGGAATACACGCATCGCTGAGGAAGCAATTGTGCTGTGGACAGCATGCTTGGAGCCACCACGTTTCGGATTTCTTGAAGAGGAATTCAAATCCATTGCTGATGCCATGTTGTCGCACTTCATCTGAAGCAAACGTGAACAGAATCCGCTTACAGGGCGGCCAATCTTGACTGCAGCTGGTGCTTGTCATTTGAGCGGATTGTTGAGTAGAAGTATTGATAGTGTCGCCATCAATATTCATCAGTGACAAATGAAATTACAATCTGAATTTATGAAATTTTTAATTATCGATGAAAGCATATTCATTTTGAATTACGGCATTACTGCATTGTTCCAAACCTTCAAAGAAAATGAGTCGCGATTTCATTTACATGAAACCGAAATATAAACAACTTTCCGGGCTGGCGATAATCGCCTGTTGAATTGAATCTGTATGAGAGAACAATTGAGAATTTGACGCTTCCATGAATCAGTAAACAGAAATAGTTGATTTCGGATTGTATCCGTTGGGAAATTACATTGACTTTGCTTTATTTTTTGCCAAGCAACTTTATCAGTATGTTAGCAACTAGTTGTTGCAACAGAAAGTAAAAAATTTCCATCAAAATGTTTCACATTTTGGTTGAACACATGGTAATTTCACTTCATTTTAGCCGCAATCGAACTAGATTCAACGTATCTATCCCAAAATCCGTGAATGATTCAAGAAAATGTCCCAATTGAATGTACTGTTCATAAGAAACCTAATAAATTCTTCACCTATCAGGCAATATCTGTTTGTTTTGGAACCCTTTATATGCTAATAAGTTCAGATAAGCACAACGTCTAAGTTTGTGTATTGACTGCACATTAACAGAATGACACTTGCATAAATTGCTATAAAGAGAACAAACAATTGAAATTTGAATAGAAAACAACGTTTATGAGCAGAAATGATGCGTTTATTTACAAATAATTTCATTTCATATTAAAAATCAACTTTTTTGTTTAAGAAAACAAAACAATTGTACAGTTACTAGTTCGTCAAGTTCTCGTGATACTATACAAAATTTGTACAATATTTTACAACGACTAGATGCAAAATAAAGGAAGCAGTGACTTCCAATGAGATCACATTAACTTCGTGATTGTTAGACCAATAATCGAGATTATAATTTCATGGAGATTAATGCTTCATCAAGCTGATATCGTTAGTTGTGTATGGAAAGAATGTCAACGAAAGAAAATGTACTAGGATAAGACTGATGATATAAGATGATGCTAGACCTTATGTTTGAGATAAGATATCATTATGCTGAGGTATTGTTCAATGTTTATAAATAAAACTGATGATATTATTTTGATGATTTCGAGCAGACGTATTTGCTGATAATGAAATTGTACAATTATCAATTCATTAATTTCAAGTGATACTATACAAAATTTGTACAATATTTTAAAAAGATTAGATACAAAATAAAGGAAGCATGAAGTTCACTGAATGCATGAACACATAAATTACATTGATTATTTTTAAGCTGACGGAAATGAAAATAACAATGATGATAATGACGTTCTATAATTTAATATATTCTATAACAAATTATCGAACTATTTTATATGCCGTAGAATATGGCCGTATTATAGCAGTATTATAAATGTTATGGAATTACCAATTAAGATTAAGTTCGTATGAGATTGAAGTGTCAAACAAGATTCATATCATGCGTTATAAGATTGTTTCATTGGAATTTTAGCTAATTTGTCGCCAACAACTTGAATTCGAANGTTTTCGAGAGATTGTTCCACTCCTGAAATCAGTCACACATTGAGACGCTCAAAAAGTAACTACCCTACCACCTAACTCAGTTATTCCCTTCAGAAATGAGCAGCAACTTCCGATTTCAAATGAACGAAAATCGCTAAATTTCGGAAACGACTTCGACGGAAAAAGCTCAGAAGTTTTCCGCGAAACTGCGGCTAATTCTATGCTTGAGGATGAGACGGGAATTTCTCTAAAAAAATAACTAATGGTGGAATTGTCAAAATGGTCAAATTGACACGTTTTTGTCAGAAGTATGAATGAATTGGCAAACTCATAAGCAATCACACAAAAACCAACCGAAACGTCGTCATCGTTGGAAAAATGCTTCTCCATCTGTAACGATGATGTATCAACCGTTAACAGTCGATCCGAGTACCTGAACGATCGTTCACTACGAATTGAACTGCCGGCTTGTTTCGGCATTCGTGAATCATATATACGAACAATATCACTCTGTGGCACTATGGCTCCTTCATCCTGCGAGAACGCATAACCACCTATAAATAGTTGTAACGCATTCATTCATTGATTCCAGACAACAAAACAATTCATTCGAATCAATTTCTGAAATATTTTAGCAGTTTCAATTCACTAGTATCTCACAATTAAGCTTATTCTCTTTCAAACATCTTCCCCAACTCTCAGATATTCGAAGATCTAAGTGGAGGATTTATGAAATATTTAACGAAAGGATTTAAGAACAAATTTATCTAGCGTATTCACGAAACGGAATATTTTCAGTTGCTAAAAACACCAAGCGACTAATNGAAAATGAAACTAAGATCAATTGATGAATCAAGAGAACTATTCGCAAAATAACATACATCGAATAAAGGTAAGAATATGATTATGAAAGTGAAAAAATCGATTCGAAATGAAATTTATCATAAGGCAATGACACTGAACTCGCATAGTCTTCATCGTATATCCGAGAATCTCAACGGAAAAAAAAAACGAAGAAAGAGTTAAGCTCACGTGTTTTGAATGGGTGATTCACAAGATTCAACGCAGATTCTGATGTTCGCATCATGAATTGACGCACTTTAGTGAATGATTCTGATAGAGCGTCGATTTTTTTGCCCATAATGAGTTGTTTCGATAACGCTTCATCATGCAAACTGTTGTATAGTAATCGTTGAATACTGAAGCATGAGAACAAGTTGGGCATTTAAATAGAATATTACAATGATCAAGCAAACACAGAAATGATTCACTGATCCTAGAATATCCATTCGAAATAACACAATAAATTGTCTGCGCAATATCCTCTGAGAGCTGTTCTCGTAAACCTGGATGATTTCACTGATCAGACGTATCCTGTTATAAAAGATGTATAGAACTGGAACAGTCAGGATCGTATTCAAAGCTGACACTGAACAAGAGCTTCAGTGATCATCCGAAGAAGGAGTATTAATAACTGATTAATGAAGGATTAATAACTAGTGAATAATTTCAATCACTACAAAGCGTGGAAGCGACTATCATGTACAGAGAGGCTCAGAAAATGGTAATAGCTTGATCGTAAATCAATAAAATTGTAAAAGTTTAATTAATTAAGAACTGATTTAGTATGTTTCATATAATAAATTAAGTGACACTTCAAAAAATCAATAGCAAGAAAGTAGTAACGAACGCATTGAATAGGATATCAATAGATATCGCGACAAACGTGGCTATGATTATAAAGAGGATAATCTGTGGCGAATAGAGTATATCCAATATGATATCGGCCATTTCTGCGTCGACTCGAACCACTGGACTGGCCGGTGAGGTTAGGCAATACGAGAACATGAACGTCGACAGCATCACCAACGAACCACCGAATGCCACCAATGACATCTGTAAACAATTTGATAAACAAGTAAACAAATAAACAAATAATAATGAATATGTAAAAAGGCAAAGAATTTTTTTACGATTTACGGTAAATAATTTTTAATCTTTTCTCAAAAAATTCTTCATTTTTGGATTCCAAAACAAGCTTAAAACATCACAGATCGCACCGAATCAACCAGCTAATATGGTATATCTGTAGTGGGAACGTTGGAAAACAGCGATTTTTTTTCAAACTTGAACATAAAAATGCGGAAACTTACAACTGTGTGTGAATCCATTTCGATAGCTGCTTTTAAGTTAACCGTGAAAACAAGTGCCTCAAATATAATATTTTCATACTGATCTATGTCTCTGATAACATAAAATGAATGAAAACCCTCATCTACAGTGATTTTAGTCGATAACTAATACAAGATTTTAAAAATTAACAAATTAAGTTTCGATATCCAAAGCATCTTCTGAATAGCCCTTTATTAGGATCAGAAATCGCACGTTATCTAACCGATGTAGACGTGCACCTTGCGATTGGAATTCCTCGTTGAACATCCGGTAATGTTGAATGCGAAACGCGCAGAATATAGTGAATGATACAGTTTGGAATTGAATTAACAACTCGAAAAAGCTCTCAAACTTACGATATTCACTGCGGTTCCAAAACATCGTAGATTACCAACCCGTCCGTGAGACCAGAACACATCTGAAATGATTTTATTCACAGTTCTAAAATACAATTACAGTAGTGATGATAATCTTGACAAAATCAGTGATTGCTTGTAATGAATGAGAAAGTTCGATGGAGTATTTTTGTTTGAAAACCAAAATCAACCACACAACTAACAAACCAACCAGATTTGAATGTATGATAGCCAATGTAGAATATCACCAGTGCATGAACAATACCGTTCAGAACCCATGAGAAGAACAACTGAATTTCAGAAAATTTCAGAGGACACTGGTTTATTGTAAGTTTATTGTATTGTAATATTGCATTGTCAGATCATAAGAGAACATAATTCTCAAACATAAACCTATGGTTCATCGTAGAGTATGCATTTTGCAAGTTTCATTCGTGAACATCGTTTTTTGGGATATTCGTCGAAATTATTCGAATCGGAATGACCTTATACGCGAAACGAATTAAACGTGAAATTTTTGCTAACTCGTTGAATGTTCAACGTT